AAAATCTCTACGACAGGTTTCTGAGGGTTGAATCTGCACATGAGTAAAAGAATTCCAAAAAATCCTGATTTATAGTGATAAAAATGTTATGTTTGTGTACTCAAAGTTTCAGCCTGCTCATTAGTTGAAATATTCAACTCACCTGGTAGTGAGAAAACACCCGGTGGGTCTTGGTATAACAAATCCTGGAGGATTCAGGGAGATTGTCTTATAATCCATCAACAATTATAGTGGGAAATCTCTCTCCTTTCTTTATCCGGTTCTCACATTGCTCTTCTATGAATTAGTCAAGTGCTGGTTGCAAAACAAGTAAGTTTTATTTTCAAAAACAGCAGAAAATGTTGGGGCATGTCATTGTTTCAAACTCAGTACCTCTGGGTCCTGGGCCAAACACCTGAACCAATATGCCACACAACACCTCTAAATACTTACCCTCGAACTACAGCAGTACCCTTGCTGGCAAACGCCCAAAGAGGCCCCAAGGATTTTGCCTTTTACTGTGCTTTGCAACTTTAGTGATTGTTGTGTACAATAGTAGGCTTGGGATAGTCATTTCCCTGGTACTGAAAATTAATCAGCTGAATGTGAAATGCCTATTGTATACAGAGTATGGTAACTACATGTAGTATTGTAGTGCTGTCCTTGGTGCTGAATAAGTACATGTAGTTATATCTCACTTGTCTCTTTGCAGCATTTAATTATGTATATGTTTGAAAGTGCAATGATGTGCGTGGTTATTTCATCAATAATTGAGATAAGCATAGTCATGGCAGTTCAGAATTAAAGAGTCATAGACTCAATCAACAATATCCCAGTGGTAAATACCCATATCAGCACTAGAAGTACTGAGAGCAACACATTTGAGCAACAAACCAAACATTTTCAAGTTATTTCTTTTTCCAGGAATCTCCCCATTTACCTTTTCACCTCTTAGGATGTGAACAGCACAATATTAATGGAAATATCACTGAAAAGTCAAAGTAACTGTATATAAACTGATAAGGAAAGATGCTGATAACTTTCATCCAGAGCCCTTTTTCCTTATCCTTATGTAGGGAAAATTCAGGAAATTCTGAAGTTCCTGTTGATTGGCATAGTTGTACCATTGGCTCCCTTCATCAGAAATGACAGTTTAAACTTGGTCATGGTGGCAATAAGACCATACAATTATGCTGGATCCCTGTGGGTTCCTTAATTAGATTCCTGTCACAGTACCAAGCTCTTGTAGCCCTTGCTTATCATGTTACAGCCATGGCTGGGGTTTGGAGTTTTAGCTGCTTCTAAGCGGCTTTCAAACCGTCACGTGGAATTGGCAATTTCAGACAACAACTATCACGTTGATATCAGTACTCCTCTGGTGGAGTTAAGCCCATTGCCATTGTAACAGATACAAAACTACCAAAAGATGTTCTTGTCAAGATAAGATGGAAGGTCTTGATGTATAACAGGATCAAAACTGAAGACCAAAGGGGTCATTCCCATGCAACTAACACCGTTGTGCCATTAACTTTGAAAGCACAGTTAGTAACGCTCAAAGGGATGGGTAGGCCTGTCTTATGGGGGAGGCATGTGATGACGTCAATGGGGTGATTTATCTTTAAATGAAAGTTAATAGCCACGGTCGGTGTGCCAAGAAGCTCCTTCTGCATCCATTCTGGCATCTCTCAAGCAATCTTGTGTCATTAAGAAGTTAAGCTTCCGGTTGCTAAGTTTGAAAGGACGTGGGGCCATCGTTGGCTGCAACCCTTTTAAAAGTCTTTAAGGGGCACGGAGCAGGATGAGCTTTTAGTTCTGAAGACTTTTAGAGGATACACATGCATAAAACAGGTGACCGACACTGTACAGCTTTAAAGTTATTAAACAATGCTTACAGTTACATGTGCGAAGGCTGGTTGTTCGGCATAATATAGCCAGCTGCCGCCGCACCGCATTCCTGCGAAGCTGGTGTTTTACACCAAAGGGTGATTATACTGGCTATACAGATTCAGAAATTGACAGAAAGGAGATGGTATGGATGGACTGATGTCCTCTGTCAAGGTCAAGCTGGGTTTGGCTATTCAAATCTTACAGAAGAAGGCCATCAGCTATGATTTATTTGTTTGGCACGATCCCCACATGGTCAGATATGCCCCCCTCACTTGTATGACATGAGTTCTGCTGTTTTAATACCTTGCCACTGGGGTAATGATGCATTACAGTGTTGTTGCTGACTTGTCTGTTTGTGAATGAATATTTTATAAACACAATATTTTTACACAGAAACATGGCACAGTTGTAAGCTCCTTAACCCCTGAGAGAGCAGTTGTCCCATAAAAATACAAGTAGTAGTTCATTAAACAGAAGTTCCCTTCACCCTTGAAGCCGATGTTCAATGATTAGATATTAGAGAAGATATAGAGCAAAATTGCATCTTCTTAAAAGGATCCCTGATCAATGCATTCATGTACATAAAACTGATTACAGGCATGTTTTGCCACAGCACCTGCCTGTTTTAGACAATATGCCTCAGGCTCCACACATATTTTACCTTTTCTTGCTTAATTTCAAGGAAATGTAGATTATATCAGATGAGAGCAGCCACTGCTTTTCATGTACCAAAACATATCCACCTCAACATCTTAGTGCCATTGGTCAATGCCCTTTTGTTTTACAGTGGAACTAAACGACATGGGTCTTAAGGTTTTTGCTCAAGAAAGATAAAGATAATTATACACAATCATATAAATTCATATTGCACATGTTTGAAAAAGATGGGTGGTTATTATTATAATTACAGATTCTGCAACTTTAATTAGATAGAATTATACAGTTGAGTCATGTGTGTTTTTGTTGATATGGAGCTGAAGAATTCTTCTGTCCCAAATACTGCCGGTCGGGTTGGACAGCCTAGGCAAGACCCTTAATTTTTATGTGTAGGGGAAAACAATCAGGACTGATGGACAGCTTATAAAGTTGATCTTTGGGCAAGTTTGACTGTGTAAGGTCTAAAGTTGTTCGTAAACTTTTTTGTTCTGCTGTCTATTTTCTTTTTTCTTTTGTGGCAATGAGTTTCAGAAGAGGCTGTGATAAGACCGATTCATATGATTGTACAGTCTAGATGACTGATTGATAATGTTACCATATGCCAGTGTTGTATATTGACTTCACATGTGTTTTGTTGGCCCCCTTTGTCCATTAATGTTCCAAAAAGCAGTCAAAGAAATAATTGTTCAGGATTCATCAGGGTCTGTGTGCGATTGTGGCTTGTTCAAGCTTTCCCCTGTGTATTTTCTAATGGAGGTGGGTGCTTTTCCTGCCGTGGAAAACAGATGGGAAGATTTCTAGATGTGAGGCCTGCAGCTAAAACCTCACCTTGTGAAAAGTCTTTCATTCGAACTGTCCAGGTGAATATTGTAAAGGGGCTTGTAACCTCAGTTATGATGGAAGGTTGGTGTGAAAGGATGTCTGGACCAGCAGCTATTTATGATATCCTCAAGAATTTCTCGGAAGATGGCCCCTGAGAGAGGCTAAAACCTCACCTTGTGAAAAGTCTTCCATTTAAAATGTCCAAGTGAATATCGTTAAGGGGCCTGTAACCTCATTTATGATGGAAGGCTGGAGTGAAAAGATGTCTGGACCACCAGCCTTTGGGAAATCCTTGAGCATTTCTTAGAAGATGGTGGAATGCCCAGCAGTGTGATTACATCATGAAATGGCACCATATATTGTTTATGGTCCTGGTTTCCAGTGGCCATTTTCCTATTAGAAATCAATTTCCGTCCTAATGACAACTTTGATGCAGAAAGCTTCCGGGATTACATGAAGCACATAACATTCAATAAGGGGGCCTCTGGCTCACAGTGGAAGTGATCCAACAACTTTTCAACGTTATTTCCTTGTTTCAACTTTATACCCATGTTGACATTCTTAAAGTGGACACTTCAATAAAAATTTGTGGGGTCGTGTGGCGTAGCGGCAGCGTTCTCGACTCGGAACTAGAGGCCCCGGGTTCGAGTCCTGACATGCCACCGATCTTGTGCCCTTGGGAAAGGCACTTTACACGACTTTCCTCACTTCACTCAGGTGTAAATGAGTATGATTGTACTGTCCCTGTGTTGGTGGCGACATTAATATAAGTTGAAAAAAAACTTGAGTGTGCCGTCACCATGTCTTGTGATTGCATGTTTCGGAATATATAAAAAAAAATTATTTTGTCCATGCAATCAAAAAGATAGTTTGTCTAACATTTAAAAAAAAAACTTTTTCATTGAAGTCCTGTAGCTAAAAATTCTTGTTTTGTCATTTAATATGTCTTCAAAACTATCAAATTATTTATTATATTAACATCTGTTTCTCAGAATTTGGCTCAAAGTCTAGGTATTTGGATGTCTCTCAAATCATAAACAGCTTGCATGGCTTGGAGGTTACTTATGTATCAAATCTCATTTCCTGACACCCAACATCCCTCATAACATTTATGTATGGTTGACCATTTTTCAATCCTGCCTTGACCAAATTGCTTCTCAGTGTGATATGCCATTCCTGAAGGGGATCTTGGCTTTTATGGTACATTGAACAATGGGGCCGTCAGTCATGTGTGATGCAAAATTATGGAACTTTCTTCCCTGTTTTTCCTCCCAAATAAACCCACAAGCCTTCAAAACCAATATTTACTGCCATCTCCTAGCATGGTCACCTAATGTTATACCTCCTACCAACTTAATTTTGTGCCAAGAAGTTCACTTTTGGCCTTGCCTATAGCATACTTGTTTTTGAAAATGGCATTTGTCCGTAGGTGGTACTCAAATGTGGTCATAAGGCCATGCAATCTTGATAGATTGTTTGATAGATTTCAGTTGGTACCTTCTGCTTTTTGCCAAACTTTCTCTATACTAAAAGAAGAAAATCCAATGACAGGAAAAGATGATTATACAGAAACACGGATGAATATACACACTCAGTTTATTGTGGTAATGCTAGTGCTGCAATACAATCACACTTGCACATTCTACTACTTGGAAACACTGCTATCTTCACAGAGAAATAATGGGCAGAGCTTTGGGTAATTGTTTTTACCCATTTCTCTTATTCTGTCAATGTAAATTGCAGTAAACAGATTAAATCAATATAAGGACAAGAAATCAAGATTGTCTGGCCTAACAGATTTCTCCACATCTAAGGATTTCTAGTCAACAGGAAAAGCTTGGGAAGCCAATCTCTTGACAAAAGCTGATTAGTGACCAAGTCAAGGCAAACAGAATGATTTATGTAACAATCTGGCAATTGGTTCCATAGAGTTTTGCAGTCACAGTCTGTAAATACTGACAGAAATTCATATCACATTGACCAGTATGCTTTTTAAGGGTGCTTTGCAATAATATGGTATGCAGATTGATGTTCAATGCTTTGTTTTCTTTGTTGTTTATGTGCCAGGGGTATATAATCTTTTACATTAAGTTAATCATCAGATTAAGTATATGATGCATAGAACATTGCATCTGAAACCCTGTCAGTTAGTGTTGCTATCTTCAAGCTGTACTCCTCAATTTTAAAAGCCTTATATGAAAATTATCCAGACAAAATAGTCTTAAACAAAGTTGGAAGTACTCACTTGTTATTCCCAGAGGGCAAGCATGATAAACATTGTCTTGTTTTCAAGTCAAATTCCTGCCGTTTAATAATCTGAAGAAGCATCAACTGTTAGTCTGCTGCTGTATTTGTAAATGTTCCATTCCTTGATTATGCTGCTGTTGCTAAATTGATCCAACTGTAGGCACAAATATTGCTAGTACTTCCTTAAACCTGTTCTGCTTCTTGACAACCTTGATTTTCATCTTGTTCATCACTGTAGCTTTTTGCACGTCCTTGACGATATGAATTGGCGGTCCCCTGTCCAATGAAGACATCATTTCCCTTGGTTCTAATCCGTTTGATCATGTCCAGAAAAGCTTCCTGAATTTCTGCGTTACAAAAGCCGTACACTATGGGGTTGGAATAACAAGGGATAGTCAGGAAAACAAGCAGAAATGTGCGGTTGGCGGCCTTGAGTGCATTTGAGGGGAATGTCCAGTTCTCGAGGAGCAGCTTGGTTATCCCATGGAGGGACCAGGATACAAAGAAGATGAGAAATATGATGGAATGAGTGGTGATGGTTTTAACGGCTTTGGTCTCCAGGAACTTGACATCATCCCCCTCATTTTGGCTCTTGATGAGGGAGTGCTGCCTGCTGGCTTGCTGGTAGACCTTCACATAGGAGAAAATGATGACAGCAAAGGATGAGATTGTCAAGGCAGAGGCGACGCAGAGCATCGGCAGCTGGTACCTGAGGCTGGCCCAATCCGTGGTAACTCGAGGTGTGCAGAGGAGGAGGTCAGGCACGTACTGGTTGGGGTCGGCAAACCTGCTCATGATCTGGTAGACAGCCACGGACAGGATGGAGGTTAGCCAGGCAGCCGTTATCAGGGAGAGCACCCGGGACGTGGTGACGACGTTGTGGTAGTTTAGAGCCCAGCAGATCACATAGTACCGATCCATGGCCATGATGGCCAGGTTGAACAGTGTGCAAGCTGACATAGTCATGTACACAGCACTGTGCACCTGGCACCACACCCACCCCAGATCATTCACACGGTACAGCAAGTTGACGATCACCGTGGGGATACAGACGGTGGTGATGAAAATGTCGCAACAGGCCAAACTACAGTGTACATAGTACCTGGGCTTCCTCAGCCGCTTGTAGGACAGTATCACCACCAGAACTCCAATGTTCCCTCCTAGAGTAGCAAGGTATGACAAGGTGACATAGGTAACCTGCAGTGCCTGTTCCAAAGGAGAGGTCCCAAATATCATGGGCATGCTCCCATTCATGCTGCTGTAGTTGGAGTTGAAGTCGCTCTCAGGAAAGTCTGTGGCAAACTCCAAAGTAGGGCGGGCCTCCATCATGTCTATTCCAAGCTAGCTTCAGTCTGCCGCTCTGATACAGAGCACTGGTGGAAAACTAGTGGAGCTGAGACCAGCAGCAGTTTCAGAATGCAGGGAGCAGATAACCTGGTGTGTAGAGCCCTCGCCCGCAGGAAATGATTTTCATATTCACCCTATCCAATCATTGCAGTTTGATTGGCTGTTACGGTGCCCCTGTCTCCCTCTCTACTCACTCACTGGCCTCTTCAATAACAGCAGTGGGCGGAAGCTGCTGGTGACGTCATCCCATTCAGAAGCACAACCCACGTGTGTCGTTTATCAAGCTCGGCTGAATGCCGCCTGGCAAGTCGTGTCACCCTGTCCCGGGAGAGGCCACATGCCACAAAGGGGGCAGCAGCTGTAATGATACATACTCCTGTATATTACACCAGACAATGGGGCACTCCATCATTATAGTGTTTGCCGCTAGAATGTAGTATTACATTCAGAATGGGAATTTCTTCACAATACTTGTTAACATTAAAAATTCATCGGTGCTCTTGTGTTGTTCTGAAAATGAAATGTCAGTTATTTTTAAGGAACTCATTCAGAATTTTAAGGTGAATGTTCTCATACCATCAAGAATGTTCGTACCATCAATGCTAAGGATATGCATAACTGTATGGTGTATTGTGATGTGCAGGTTTCTTAAGTGCCCCTAATAGGTGCAGTGTGAACCCACTTCCCTCCCAGTTGCAGTGGCCTTCATAAACCATTCCATACCCCATTGATTATTCCATTGCCATCGGCTCTGGGAAAGTGATGGCATGTCATTACAGATGGGGAAAATCAATGGAGAGGGCCAGGGTTGTTTGAACCGCTTCTAACGTGTACAGCGCAGGCAATAACGTGCAAATAACATCCTCATGGGGGGAAATGCAATATTGGATTTGCTCAAATAAGGATAGAGTATGCATACGATATTGCCTTCTAGAAATGTGAATTGTAATATAAGGTACAGTGACGTCAGCATAAAGTTGATATAAAGTAGTATTGATATTGAATTTGTCAGATATTGGTGCACTATGTTTATCCATGCAAATATGTGATGTTATCCCAATTCTCAATTCTTTATTAAGATATCAAACATAACAGACAAACATGACATACAGTGTTGCCTGAATGGCGTTGATATTTACAAGATAAAATGTCAAGATATTATATATTTACAACAACTATAAAAACAGTACAGTAGGTGTACAACCCAGATATTTACAAGGTCCATTATCCTGTGCCAGACTCTATCTGCACAGTCCGGTTATAGAGTCTGATTGACTGGTGAAGGAAAGAGTTCTGTAGTCTTTTTGTTCTGGCGGGGGGGATAGAGATAGTGTTTTTGTTCCTGAGGGAACGACCGGTAGCTGTAGATCTGGAGAGAGGGACAAGGTCATGTAGGGGATGATCTTTCATTATATCATTCAGGTTGTTTGCTGTTGGAGTGTTATGTATGGGGACAGGATTTATAAACACGTCCAGATTAGTGAAATGTGGCTAACCGAAGCTGACAAGGTGTCTCCTTTGTCCCAATTCCCAAGATAGCTGCTGCTAATCTCATCACAACAGTTACCCTCGTTTGTGCCTGAAGGAATCAGCCAATGTAAAGACAATGAAGTCTTCTACGTCCTAAATGTTTGAAATCATGAAAAGGATATAGTCCGAAAGGGGGTGAAATCCTCTTCTAGTTAAATCGTCTTGAAAATGCAAGTTGCTTTCTCCATTCAGTACAACAAGATCAATCTTTTTCATTCTACTTTGTTCTGAAGGCTGTTTGACATGTGACATGTTATATGTTGTCTCGTTTGTGTTCAGGCACAGAATTTATTCCTGCACAGTGTTGATAGGAATTATTACTATAATATAATATATATGGTATTCAAATCACTGCTTGCAGTTTTTAGCAAATTGGAAGAGTCTTGTTGTAAGAAACCCTGTGCAGTATCGAAAGTTTATTCATAGATTATATGATTTAAAGGAAAGTAAAATGTTTAGCAACATTGATTCGAAATAAGCTATTAGGAAAGTGTAGACATTTAAAGTTGTCTATACCACTTTTAGGGCATAAAATAAGGTGTGACAGTATCAATAGAAAAGGGCCATGTTTAATGTTCAGATGGTACACATGAAAGATTGTGCTTGACAAAAAGGGTAGTAAATATAAGCAACTGTAAATGTTGGAACTACCCTTTAGTGTTGGCAACACAACAGCTGCATACAAAGCACACAAGTGTAGTCCATAAAATGCACTCCATTCCACACATCTGAACAGCATTAATGGAACATCAGACTACAGTCAGCAGCTCTTGATTCAGCACCATGGACAGTGGTGGTTCTTGTGGACTGTGTGTTAATATGTCTGACTGGAGATTCATGTTCAGCCAGCTCTCATGAGATAGCTTTTAGCTGTTGATTGTGCCCCCAGACATCAGCCATCAGTTACATGTGCAGATGATACATGGAATGTAATAGGCTTAATGTGCCCTCTGTGGAAATATGAATCTATAAGAAAGGAATAATTCCTGGAATCAGGCTGATTCTCTGCCAGTAGTTCATTCATTTTACGTATGTTTAATTTCTCTGTAGCGATTAACATCAACCTAAGTTTCTTAATTATCATTTTACACAGGTCCACAGAAGCTTTTCTTGATAACTTTAGTTTCTATATCAATGCAATGAACTTTGCATGAACTGAGGTTTATGTACAAATGTACTTTCCATTTCTTTGCAGTGTAAAAGCTGTTGCCTTGGTGTTAACAGTTGCAGATAATTCTAAGAAATGTTGCCTTCAGCCCATGTACCCAATACTTTTGTAAGGGGAACAATGGTGTAATGTCAGACTAACTAGCAGAAAACAGATGAGGGGATTTGGTAGTCAAATGGATGACAAATCACTCTCTATCACCCTAGGAACACATTTATCACAATAAGGCTATACAAGCTTGATCACTTGTCTTGATATTCTGGACATACAAAAATTTTTGAAAAGGTGACTTTTGAAGTCATGCAATCAATCACAAGAGAAAAATTCCACTGAATACAATTCTTAAGTGTCTCATGTCAAGGAAAGCATGTTAAAGCTAGTTAAAGTGTTAAAATTCCAGCATTTTGGATGATTACTGAACAAACAAAAAAAGGACAGTGTGGGTGAATCTCTGTCAGGACAGACTCTGTAACCATTTGTTTAAAAACAGAATCTGATGCATTTGAAAGGCAGGCAATTGGTAATTGCCTTGTCTTAGAATAATTAAGAATTCTTCAAAGGATTTCTGGATTTATTTATTTATTTATTTCAGCTTCATTACATAACAAAGTATGTAATTGGACAGGGGGAACAGGTCTAGCCTTTGTCTTAGCCCCCTGTCCAAATTAAAAACATAATAAAATAAAAAGTAACACCAAAGACTTATGCAAACATATACAAAATTGCGTGGGTTGCTTTGAAATCTAACAATATTATTCCTTTGTGAATGCATTCCTTAATTCTACCAATGTTGGCCCAAGCATACATACTTTTGCAGAAATAATTATGATGCAGAGTGCATCTCTCTGTTCCATTGAAGTCACTTCACTCGGGTGCATTTATGTTGATGGTGATAGACTTGAGTGAAGTTTAAAGTGCTTTGACCATTCATTTTCTGGCATGCAAAGGTCTGGCAACTACTTAATTCTGAGAAGAATTCGGAATGGGTAGATTCCACTGAATACTTCACACATATATACCTAAAATATGAGTAAGGAATGCTGACAAAATATACAACATTTATCCTATGTCCTATATCATTGAAGTGGAACAAAGGGTGATGACAGACTTTTCCATCTAAATGGGCATCTTTCTTCTTTCCCTAGGATGGAAATAGATAACATGTTCCTCCTTTGTGGAAAAAGTGAATGAGATTGCGGGTACTGCTCTAGTCTTGTTAGATATTTCCCATGTAGTGTCGCACAGATCATGTAAAGGTCAGTAAGCCTCATGCTGTACACGTACGGTCATTCATTGCCTTGTATCCAATTAAGAGCCGCACGAGATGGTCGCTCGTAAGAAATAAAAGATCAGAAGCTGTAGGAATGTGGTGGGAATTGGAGCTCAGTTACATAAAGGCAGCAGGAGATCTTATGACAGAGGCACACGAGTCTGGGCACAGAGCCAAATGTCTTACAGCAGGGGAGACGTGGTGGGACTGGCTGATTCTGTCTGCTGAAGATAACACTGCTAATTGCAGCCTTGAAGTATCTTTAACACGGTGACCATATTTCACTCTTATCCAAACCACCCTGAGCAATGATGGCAAAAACTCTGCTGACGCATTTGTCTTCCTGCCCTTGTCTTAGGTTGGTTCGACAATGGGATGGACAACAATGTGAGGAAATAAAGTGTAGTCAGTTTCCTTTTTAAAAAGTTTTTGCTCATAAAATACTGAAAAAATCATTTGCTGCTCTTATTTAGGTTTAATATACCATATCCCTAGGGTAATTTGCATGTGTATCAAATCCTTGGCTTGTCTCTTTGGAATTCCAACACCTAAGGGCAACATTGGTTATTATGTTAAAGTTTGGAATAAGAACGATAGAGAAGATTTATTGCAGGCTGTGTGTGGCATGCTGAAGTACTTTTAGCTCCAGAAGGGTTTGGGACGTCATGACCTTAGTCATATCACAATAATGCAGGAATTTGTGGAGGTTGAAAAAGCCATGCTCTGGTCAGGTCACACTACTCACCAATCATTAGGGACAGACCAGGAAGCATTTTGGGGGAAGCATGGAAATTTGGTAGAATTTTTCACTTTGATACATATGAATTAATATAGGCCACACAGCCCTGTGATGGTACATGTTAACCCAATCAGTGATTCAAAGCAGCGCTCTGTAAGATTATACATGCATGAAACAGGTAATGATGAAGTAGTTGTCATTATTATCTCTTACCACACTGGTAGACTACTATGATAAATATGCATGTTTCTATTGCATTTACATGCCCATGATCTATTGTGAACAGTCCCTTAATGTGTCCAGTTTGGCATCATTCTCTTTTTCGTGGAAAAGTGTTTGCACTTGTCAGAAGTGAAGGCACTTTCTTGGAAGATTACAGTGGTCCGGAATTGGACTCCAGATTGGAACAATAGAAAGAATGGCTGACCTTGTGAACATCTTGTGAAGGTCATTAAGCAGACTAAGTGGTAGTGCATTAACACCTGCACTACAATTGTAAAGCAAATGTACCAATCCAGTTAGTTGCAATGTGTAACCTTCAACTGAGTATATGGGAAGCAGGCATCATCATTGTAATTTGAACTGGCAACTTTTCTGACAGTCAAAATGCCATGATTAAAACTTACATCTAACGGCTGTTTCTACAATAAACTTACATCCATCATAAACAGTAATGTAATAATGTTGTATAATTTTGGGAGCTTTAACCTCCCTAGAGTCACAGACAATTTTGAAGCCTGGTTCCAATCAACATTGGAGGGTTAACTTAATCTGTAACAATAACCCTAATTCAAAACCCAACATGTCAGTGGCAGTGGCAGATTATGAAGCCTACATGTAATTGACCCTGATCCATTAACACTGGAGAGACTCAATCTACGAGATAATCCCAATCCTATTCCCATCCCTAACCTCAAATGCTCACAATACTGTGGCTAGTTTATAAAGGTTCATCCTGTTGGGCACTGACACTGAAAGGATCATCTTTATTCTAGATCTAATCCCCCCCTAATGCCATTGGCCATTATAAATCAGCCTTGGTCCATGACACTGAGAGGCTTCAGAGGTAATCCTGTTTCTAATCCAAATCCTGTCCCTAGCCTCAGACCATCACTGGTTATAAAGCCTCATTCAAATTCCAGGAGATGCTCAGTCTCCACAGATAGGCTTTACTCTTCACTGTGCACTGAAATGTCACCAGTTCTCACCCTTTGGGTATGCTGCAGCTGATCCACTCAACAAAATGAACCCATTTTTTCTGGGTCAGCCAAGAGAAAGCTGGTATCTAGTTGTTGAATCCTTTTCCTGCAGACAAAGGTTTACTTCTCGGAAGGCTTGTCCGTATTGGAGTACCTAACTATTGATCTGCTGTGCACTTCTGTATGGCTACACAATTCTCAGTTGATCCTCTGTACCATGGTTGTCTAGATTAGTTGAGCAAGAGGTTGGTAGTCCATGTACATTTTGTAAGTTCTTTTGTTGATAGTTGTACGAACTGGGGCGACTTCTTTTTACCTTCGCCAAGAAGGTTATGTTTTCAGTAGCGTTTGTCTGTGTGTGTGTGTGTGTGTGTGTGTGTGTGTTTGTGTGTGTGTGTGTGTGTGGTTTAGCAAGATAACTCGAGAAGCAGTGGATGAATTGGAATGAAACTTGGTAGGTGGGTAGGTCTTCATGAGACCTAGAAATGATTAGATTTTGGGCCCTCTGGCGGCTTTCCTAGGTACTGCAGCAGAACTT